TGGTCGCAGCGGGAGGCGGGGGTCAAGAGCGGTGGGCGTGGGCCAGGCAAGGGGTCTGGGGGGCACAGCTCTAGCGTCGACAGCGACCATGATGGCCGGCGTCGTCATGGAGATCCTGGCACAGGTCGGAGTCACTGATATGTATCATCACGTGGAGGCCGTCCAAGCAACGCGAGTACGTAAAAAGACACCTTCAGCAAGCCCACAAAGGACACCCGGACCTTGACGCCTTCCTGGCGAACATAGTAGCGGGGAACACCGGGCGCAAGTACCAGGGGTAGAGTCATGGTGAACGGCCCGGTCTTGTCCTTGCCTTCCAACGATGCGCCCTCGCTGGTGCACACCCGCGCCAGGGCAAGAGTCGGGAGGGCCCCAATGGCCGAGCTCGTATCGCAGCATACGAACTCTTTTACTGCTTTCCCTGGGGGGAACGGCCTTGGCCTCGGCCAGCTGAGTCGCGCTCAGCTGCATGGTAGTCTACTGTTGTTCGACCGGCGTGCTTCCTCGTTGGGTTGGGGAGGCTTGCCACGAGTGGGCGCTCTCTCCAAGCCTCTTTGCGGGCAATCTGTTCTGATCGACGGAGCCCCTTCGTGGTTCCATGATTTCGACATTATTTTACTGCGGAATATGCAACGTTGTCGACGATATACGTTCCAGTTTGGGATGAAATGAGGCCTCCGCTACGGCATGGGACCCGCCCTACTTCATGTTATTGACCTTTTATCTCCTGCCTGAATTTGATCCCCATACTTCTCCAACGAAGATACAACGGCGGTCATTTTGCTTCTTACCCAAAACACGAAATACGTTCGGTGACAGGGTGGGTCCCATGCCGTAGCGGAGGCCTCATATCATCCGAAACTCTTTATCGTCCACAACTATTCCGCAGTATTTTTCTAGGGGAGTGCTGCTGCTTGTACTATATTGTGGATAGGTTGCGGATTTGAGGAACCGCGCGGGCATGATGATGCCGATGATGCCACTTGCCACACGTGATCGAATGTCGCCAGACCACCCCCCTTCAAAACCAAAACCACCCAACATATCTCCCGGGTGACTGCACTTTGGTACATATCACCGTAAAAGTTACACTGCTGCTGGGGTGAGTGATATGTACCTGGTGCCAGGTGAGAAAAGAGGTTCACATGAGAACGTAGACACATAGAGTCTCATGTCGCATTATCTTTAGAGTGGGAAAGATGCAGCAGCACAGCAGAAGAAGATAAATGCACACAACGAACACGATTTGAGGCACGTAAGCAGCAGCAGAATTGACGAGATTCAAACTACAGTACACCCCACTCGCAGGCCTACCGTTGATGCCCTAGCCACGATCCCATCGCGCACAACAAGTAAAACCGGTATTGAAGCCTGCATGACAGCAAGCTAAACGACGTAGTTCCTACCTCGGTATGGGCTGCACGAAGGCGCCGTTCGTTGCTAGCTTGTTTGAGCGGGCACCGCACGCGAGGGAAGAACCTCCACTAGACACGAAGCATTCTACACGCGTGGAGAGGACGCCTAGCACAGCCGAGAGAGTGAGAGCGAGCTTCATGATCGCGTGTGTTGCTGTGAGGAAGGAGGAAGAACAGAGCGAGCCGAGCGGGGGGACAACAAGGCTTTTGGGGCTCCGCCAATTGAATGGGGGTACCTGCCTCTCGGTCTCCATGCACAGCAGTCATACACACAACCCCCAAACGTCTTTCACGCCCTGCACACGTCACGTGTTTGGTCAGCTAAGGGCGGAACAAGAGGGCGCACGGCTATATTACGCACATCATGTCAGAGTGAGTCCGCTTAGTCACCCTGGGATGCTGTTCAATTGCCTTTTAGTCTGTTGCTCTACCTGCTTGTTCTCATTGAGAAAGTGTACTGAGGAACAGCGATTGATCACAAATTGTTGTACACTGAGATGGGTGACCCGTTTCGTAGTTAGATTTACGTCACACCTTCCACAGACCTACAGAGGTACCACGCACGCACACAGGGTGTGAGAGGAAGAGAGGGACATAGTCAGCAGCATCGTTGTCTTACGTGTCTGATGCTGCTAGCGTGGTCTCCGTCCACTTGATCATTGTGCTGTAGAGAGAATCCTTTGACAACCAATTGCCTGGATGCTGGATGCCCACAAGGCCAAGGCCGAGGGCAACATGGTTCCGCCGCCTTTTTTTGTCCGTTTCCCTCCGTTGGTTTTCCTCGTTCCCTACCCCCGTTTGGACACTTGGAGTACAGTACCGTCCAGTACACGTCTACTCACATACTTCTATCATGCGTGTGGAAGGTCGTGATTTTCTCTGGGACAAAACGAGCAAGACAGGTCCGGTATTTTGCGGCCTCCGCGAACATACTCCCGGAGTTTGTGCGCAGCAGTCGCTTTTTCGACAATCAATCGTACGAAAAGCCTTGCACACATTTGGCTCCTTGGATTGCATTGTATGCATACAACACCTGCCCGAACTCTCGTGAACGCAGCGGTACCTGGTGGCCCGCCGGGGGACATTGTCGTGCCTAATCCGGAGTCTTCATCGCTTTGGTGGAGCGTTCTATGATTTGATATGCTATAATGTCTACCTTTTCACCTTGGCAAGAAGTGGCTGCAGGCTACATAAATACACAGCAGTTAATCGTACTTGCTCGGTCATGTCAAATACTTTTTTTGTTACCCTTTTTTTGAGTATGTATATCTGGGATACGTGCGCATAATCCTATTTTACCGATGCCTGGTTATCGCTCGCGTCGTGTGTTGTCTTGCGCAACTCAAATCCGACGCAAGGCCGCCCCCGCCACTCTGCCCCTTTCCGTGGGTCGGCCGTGTGCTGCGCAGACGATGCAGCAGCCCTCGTCGAGTCAGTCCAGTGCCAAAAACAGCAAGTTTAATTTGTTCTTTGCTTTTCTTGACACGTGTACCTTCGCGCAAAACAACGAATCCATCTCTCTCTATCCATAGATAAGGGTGGAGGATTAGCAACTGCATCATGTCGTTAGCGGAGCAATACCTGCACGGTTCCCCAAGCCTCATTATTTTGGAGCGATTGACAGCAGTATCTCCCCTGTGGGTACTGTAGAATCACAAACTCTATTTATTAGTTGCAATCTTGACCGTCCGTTTCATCGCTTGTTGTCATTGGACGACGACTCCCTGTGGCTTGCGTTACAGCAAGCAAGAACGACGACGGAAGGATGAGGCGGTGCGAGCGACGATCATGCAGAAGCTCATAGAGACCGGGGAGCGCGAGAGGCTCAAAGACCTCCTGCGAGAACGTCTCATCCAGTGCGGATGGCGGGACGAGCTCAAGGTTTGTCTTTCAGTCTTCATACGTACATGCCGCTTCTGTTAATATGCACATACAGGGGGGGGTACATCATGCGCTTGGTTGCAGTCGATTGGTTCGATTCTTTTTTGGGGTCATCCCGCCAAGACTTCACCTCCGACCAAAAATATGGTGCACCAACCTACTGATTCGGGAAATAGTCGTTTGGCACCCTCAACGTGTCGACTTTCTTCGGCATTTGAAGCTATCAGCAAATGAGGTTCAGAACCGCCAACTTTATGGCGGATCGGCCTGAGAGTCCGCGCAGGTCGTCCTGTGCTCGTTGTTAGAGCCGTGGACGTTTTGTTTTCACTGACGGTTGCTCAGGAATCGTGAGCGCGTTTGTAGATGTTGAAAGCAAACAATTTGGCTCGAACTGGAGGGGTATGCATGCTCGCACATCTTAAGGTCTGTTTCAACACTCCTACAAGCAGTCATTTTGCGCGGAGTGTCACGCGAGGCATTATTGATGTGTTGGAAGTACATGTCTGTTTAGCAGCAACAGTGGCATCGAAATCACTGAAGCCCACAACTGCTGTATAGAAGTACTCCCCTACTTTGGCGTGCGTCCTTGGGTAAGTTGATTGGACGTGGATCCTGGAACACAAACCATCAGAAAGCCTACCCTTACAACAGTTGCTTGATCGCTGGTAAGAGCATCATTTTCCAAAATTGCGACACAAGGTTTCCATAACCCGCGCCCACTTTTTGGGCAAGCAAGACCTTCGGAAAGATGCCTCTGGTATAACCGTCCTTGATTGCGAGACTATCACAACGACCAACCTTGGCCCGGCGCCGATTCCTCGCCGGTTGTGGCGGAGTGAACTCATGCGATTCAAGCCGTTCAGTATCTCGTTAAGAAAACGTCGACCCTTGCCGTGCGTGCCCTTTCCACATATGCATACTCCGGAGCTTTCTCATCCATGGACAACTTGCGGCCTGGGCAACACCTAAACGAGCAGCATCCCAGGAAGCCACTCCACAATTTCTTTCCCCTCAAACTAAACCTGATTGTCTTTGATCTCCAACCACCAATACCAGGAACACCGCAAACTGAGCGGCATACCATGTAGCCACTCAACGAGCGATATTACGCTTACGAAAAAATTTCCTTTGATCCCTACACGCTGTTAACCACTGCTACCAGGAGCACTGCAAGGAGATCATCCGAGGCAAAGGGTTGGAGAAGATATCTGTCGATGAGCTTGTGGACGAAATAACTCCGAGAGGCAGAGCAACGGTTCCCGACGATATCAAAGCCGAGCTGCTGCAAAGGATAAGGAAGTTCTTGCAATCGACATGATTTCGGTTGATCGCGAAAAGCCTGCTCGGCTGCTGATTGGTTTATTGTTTTTTGTGTATTGTATGCATATATATGTTTCTTGTTCCTGCTCACGGCCACTAGAGAAAACATCTTGCTGGAGAACACATGTGCCTGCGTTTTGTTGTTTCCGCAGGCACGTGGCGTTGATTTGTTCGTCATGTGAGTGCTTGGCTGTAGCAATGTGAGATAGAGAGGCACGTCCATGAAAGTGCAATTTGTCCGAGCAAAACGTAGAGGATAGTCGTTTTAGGATAGTCCACCCCTGCAACGCAGTACATTTGTTTTCAGCTTGGTTGACCGGGACTTTCCTTGCGGGATCATTGTTGATGGCGCACGTGAGGCCTTTTTCAGGGCCGGTTGTGTGGGCAGGCACACTGTTTTGACATTGCGTAGGGGCACATAGTACTTCCAATGCTACAAGGTTAACGTGATTCGCGTCTCAATACGGGCACCAGTAAGCAGTTTATGGTGGCCCTCCAATTCCACGCAAGTGCGTGTGTGTGGTCATCCGTTTTGTTCTGGTCTTCATTGTTTTTCACCGTTTGGTAAATTTGGACACAAAAGCCGGGGGTACATCAGAGGAACCTGCAGGGAGTTTTTTTTCTCTTTGCTCTCCACTCTTTCCTCCTGCGCCGGAGCCACGAGAGAGACGCGAGAGGGAGCGATAGAGGCGTAGAACGGTGTCATCAACACTAGCATGCAGCACGCACGTAGCGAACCCACTTCGGGTGCCGATGATATTACAGTAGGGGGGAGATTTGGAATCCGAGTACTCTGTAGATTTTCTCTTTTGAGGTACGTATGACTTCCTAGTCTTTTTTTAGTTAGCATCGACGGCACTACCCGGCTGCCCAAAAGAACAAATTAGTGATATATGCGGAATAGCAACGTGAACACGCTTTCTAGTCATCGGGCTCCCCGGGCAGGGGGCACGGAGGAGGTTGGACGACAGGCTACTAGTCTCCGGACCCAAATTACTCGCAAGAATGAAAGTCTCCGCGACACCACGTGGAATTCCTGCTCTCATGTGACGGCCTTTGTGTGTGCCGTTCCATTGGCTCTGCAGCACATGGACGGCTGGGCAAAGATCATGTTGCCAAACGCTTGCTTGTCCCATATGGGGTGCCCTCTCGTATGCACTACTACGGTATGTTAGTGGGAGGTGCATGTGTTTTACGTTGGTTCGCCGTGTTTCCGCCAGACAGTGAAAACTGTTCGTAGTATCCCCTTTCTTCACAAGGGTCTCAATTGCTCTGGCACCTTCCTTCTCCATAAGATACGTATCATGGTGCAATTCGCCATGCCTTCCATTTTTTTTTTTTTTTTCTTAATATGACACCACGAAACCATCTCTATCATAGAAAATAGTCTGAGACAGATTAGCAATGGATTCATAGCGTCAGAAAAGTACCTGTATGTCTACGATTTCCCAGACAGCATATAGGGACATCTCCCCTGCGGGTAGCAGGCTCAACAAGACAGTTTGGTGGCTGTCTTGTGTGTCTCATATATGTTATGTTGGGAAGGTGCAGATGATATGTGTTAGGTACTGGTCGGGCGTTTTGTGTGTGGCACCCTTTTATCCATATGGAATGCAATCTTCCTCAGTTTTCAAACGTATTTTCAATGTGGTACGCGTATGTACCGGGTATTTGGGTATGTATATGTGTGGATACATTTCGGGGTATGTGCGGACACACGTTTTTAAATTTGTGGGGTACACAACGGCGGAAGTTCCAACCGAAATGCACTCACGTCCTAGGAAAAGTCGAGATACGATGCAGGAACTTTCCGAACTTTAACTTTCCGAACCTTCCGAACATGGTCGACATCTCAGGCCGCCAATTTCTCTTGTCCACCCTGCACCCACAGACTACCACTGCTACTTTCATACTGTGGATATATGCTGAGCACATGCTGCTGCTCGAGGACCTTGGAAAATACAGGTAGAACTCATGCTATACTATGAATCCATGGCGAACGTATGCTGGACTTTTTGATCTGGATTGAGATGAATTTGATGGTATCCGTACGAATGAACAACGGCATGATTCTTCGGGTGACTTCTTGGTTTGACGTCTACTATGCATGCATACGTATCCTTTTGGTCCTTCGTTGATGCTGTGTACAAACAGACGAGATTGCATGACAGTGTACTTCGTACTCCGTACTCGATATAGTGTATTTTTCGCATATATATTTTCACTCCGCATATCCCGAAACGGCACATGTAACGCTCGATATATTTGTACCTCGTGTACCTTGTGTCGTAAGCATATATGAAAAATCGAGGAATTTTTTCAACACAACGCTGGGTATTGTAGTAGTCTACGGAGGATAAGCTTGAGCTTTGATCGCACACTACACAGTATGTACCACTCGCAACACATATCCAACGATAGGAGGGAGTCTGCATCGAAGCCTATCAGCCCTAGACAGCAGCAAAACTTCTACTGTGGGTCGTGTGCTTGCCGCCGGCTGCTCGCACTCTCCCGTCTGCATCACGGGGTACAGCCTGCCGTCAGTCAGGTGCGTTGGTTCCTGATGAATTCCCGAAGCCCCCTGTTGTCAGCACGATAAAGCTTGTGGAGACTTCTGTCGGAATGCTTCAACCGTGAACGAGGACGTTGACAATTCATATGGCGGTCGTCAGAATGGAGTACGATTTACGTTGTCTCGAATGCAACCATGATTTTTGTCGGGAGCGCTCGAGAAGACACTTCATCGGAGAACTCAGGGTCACCTTGTACCACCGATGAAAAGAACAACTGCAGTCTCGCTACACCCCGTTGATTTATGGCATTTTGACTTCCGCTACGCATTTTCCATGTCATCTATAGTCAGCTCTCGGTGCTCGTGCATTGATCAATGGGATTGATTTGGGATGTACGCGGCAGCCTGCTATTTTTGTCGACCCCATGATATATAACCCGTAGCAAGGATCAGTAGGATAACCTTGACACGTTTCTGAAGGAGAAGCACATAGTCTCACTCACGTCATCCGTATGTTGTTTTTATGAACCTCTATACAACATAGCTTTCACACGCTTCACAGATTCATTCGTGTTTTCTGTCACCAACAGTCTACAGCCCCACCTCCTTTGCGCTCTGTTATGGCGGCAATGCCACAGGAGCGGGTCCCATGGTGCCCGCGCTGGTGCACGCCTTGGCGAAGAAGGCCCACTCATTCACACAACAAGCAGCTGTTCCTTGCTGCGCAGATGTCTACTCTGACTACTCGAAACGCGCCGAGTCTTCGAATGACGTCACCATTGTTTGGTACGTGTGCTGCTTACCCTGTGAAATGCTTCGTTCGATGCCACTGTAACGTACGCACCGTTCATGGCAGACACAAGGACAGTCCTCTACAATCTCGAAACAAATTCTGATGAATGAAGCACGTCTTCCACAGTTGACGATGTTACATCCGACTGGGGCTGGTTGCGAATTCACAAGAGAAACACACGCTTACAGTAAGTAGTATTATTCGCTTGAAAAGCAATCGAAGTTGGGTGTTGACACCACGAAACGACGCTGCCTTACTACAGTACTGTACTGTAATTTCGGTACGCTACTGCTGTTCTCTACATCTAAACATAGGCGCACTAGTCTGGGTAGAAAAAGGGGAAAATGTAAATGTCGGCCGCCCCCCCCTACCCCGTTGCCCATGTGACACAGAATGGTCCCCTCCGCCTGCTTGTCCTCTTTCCTCCCGCTCGCCCTTCAACCACATTCATTCAACGAGCAGTAACATCGGCGGTGGCTGCCCCGCCTTCGGCATGAGGGAGACCTTCGAAGGAGAATTTTGGATCTACCTCGTCTTCGCTGTCGTAATCTTTCTGGTAGCCGTCTCCTCCGCCGCGTTCATTGCCTGGAACTTGGCCAAGCGCAAGAAAACTCAGCCGACGAGAAAGCCATCGGAGTCGGCGCAAGGGTCATCACCTGGCACGATAAAAACCTCCAATATGCCCGTCAGTTCCTTGCCGGGCGGCGGCCGAGGAGGTGTTTCAACACCTTCACACCACGTTCAGGCCTCCACCAACCACCCCCCAACCCGTTCTCCCCGCCTCCACCTCGTGCTCCGACACAAACGCTTCCGTGGCCGAGCTGGGGCTCTCTTGCGCTCGTACTGGGGCGATGAATAGCTCGACATTCAAGCTGTCAGAGGAACTAGACTAGACTAGAAGTGCACGGTGCGTTTGCGATTGTTTCCGGACAGAAAGATCTCCTTTTGGAACTTAGCCCGCCATGAATTCTTGCAGATATGTTGGGGAACAAAAGTGATTTCACTGGTTGTAAATATTTTTATCATAGTCATTCCAGTTTTTATCCAGACCATTGTCGTCGTTGCAGAGTAGAGAGTGGTGGGTTAACCTTTACGTTCATAGGCGCCAGATGAGTGATCCACTACTTATTGTCGTGTTTGTTATGTCCCACAACGGTATTAATAGTAGTGCTGCTGCCGTCTCAAGACTTTGAAGAGTAGGTCTCAACACGATTGTTCCCAACAAATAAACCAAATGCAGGTGCTGCTAATAATGCGTCTCATCCAGAGCCTGCGTTGGTCTTCTCAGGTTTGGCGATGCGAGCAAACTTGAACGGAAGCTTGGTCGTAGATTACCATCGAAACATGTGTCCCAGGGACAACAAAAGTTGATGCTCGGATGTTTATCATATGGTTGAAACCTGGTATATTGTATATCGTCAACCAAACCGTTTGTTTGCCAAGTGGTCCTAATACGCCGCAACTGAAACGTGCCTAGCAGAAAAAGAGATCGCGCGCCCCAGTAACAGCGGAGACAACCCGTGTTTGTGCCATCCAATTCACGAAGCCGAACAATATCTCTACGGCCAAATGCTCTTGGGAGCGTGATATGAAACATGTTCCGGCCACTTCGAACATGCACTTCAACGCATGCCACCATATCCGAACCTATAGCACAAAACGGGCGAGATGTTCCTGCCCGGCTAAGTACATATTTCAACAACCGTCTACAGTACTGCTGTGACGAATATTTTCGACAACACACCAACACCAACAACACCAACACAATCTGTACATCAAACCAATAGCAACAACCCGAAAATAATTCACACCTACGTGCTAACACAGCAGCAGCACAACAAAGCAGTTACATACATTCACTACGCCAAAGCACCCGAGCCACACCACAAAGTTCTCCACATATATAGCGAACCACAAAAACGACTCAGTTGTTTACAACAGCCTCCTGGTAGACTGCGTGGGTGCCCATAAGCACGCCCTTCAAGGCAACCTTTAGTGCAGAAAACGCCACCAGCAGAGACGCCTGCAGGGGCGCGACAATCACGATCAAGGGTTGCAGCAGAGGGCGAGACTTCCGGACGCACCAACTCCCGGTGTCTGTTCTCAGAAGCGCGTCCACCGGCCTGGTATGAATAGCACATGGGCGGGGTTTGGTCCCAGCGGGGTGCAGTGGTAGGAAAGCAAGCGGCGGGCGTGGGGTGTGCTACAAGAGGTCATGTCACATGCTGCGATGGCGATGTTGTGGCCGTGGGAAGTTGCAGTGGTAAACAAGGGTGCCGGCACCTCGACGCAGTGAAGCAGCTATCTGGCAAGGGCACGGGACAAGGGGAGCATAACAAATAATTACACTCCAACATGAGCCATGTGTGAAATGAGGTCGTCACGCTAAGGGGGAGTGGCAAGCGTGGCGTTGCTGGACTCACGCAGGTTCATTGGTCGGAGCTCTCGTCGCAGTGTGGTCATGGCGTGGTGCAAGCAAGCGCTTTCCGAAACATCCAACCGACGGGCCTTTAGGAGTACAGGAGGCACATCTACCGAGATGAACGTTCCAATCAACCATCCCCGTTTTTCGTAGCATTGTGTGCTTGTGGTCCTTCACGTGACCGCGTGGTAATGGTCAGACCCAGCTCGGGCTCGGCGTAGGAGGTGTGGTACATGATTGTCAATGCATAGCCTGTATCGCCAAGCCAGCGTTGAGTGTAAGGGATCGCCCTCCAAGCGTTACTTCTGCACGCGTTCAACCAGGAAAGACTTAACTTTTATGGTTCTGGCTTAGGTGTGTTCCACCGTCGGTGTGAGTCACATGTAGCAAGGTTACCTTGCGAGCATGGCCAGCGACACGTCGAGCCAGCTGAGCCTCTCCACCAACGAGACGGTGTTGCGGTGAAGCCTTAGCCGCCCCTCTCTCCCCGTGAAGGTGTCAAACGCGACCAGCAGGAAGGGGGGCTTGCTGTCCAGCACCACCATCGGAACGCCGGGGGGTATCACGAGACTGTCGCCCCACCTGGAAAGCCCACCACCCCCGAGACGCGAGGTAAAGGGCATCCGTACACAGGAACACGGAGGGTGAAGAAAAACGCACAAATGTTCGATTGCAACGAGAAATGGCGGTTCAAGGTTTGGGAGATTCTTTTTTATGGGCACGAGGGGTCGTCGGTCGTGAGGACCGATATCAGATGTTGCTGGCAACAGTGCTTGATGTTTGCTGTTACCGTGATTGGTATTGACGGTGATGCTGATGACGAAAGTGCTATTATTCATGTGGGTGACGACGGACTGTGTTACCGATTACGCCCTGAGTTGTGTTATCCCGTCTATGGATGCTCCCTACACCGTGTTCATCGCTGGGTTTGAGCAGAGGAAATGTTGCAACAGTCATTTATGACAACGGCGACGTCACTCGTTGGTGATACTGGGGGTTGGGCAGGTAGACAGACGATGTGTTCGCGTGTTTTGAGTGAACAAAATCGTCTCGTTGCGGCGCCAGAAGAAACGCTACCAAAAATCAACAAGAATAGTTCACTTCACGACCGAATGTGTTTTCCGGACCAGTGCGCTTGGAATGATACGCGAGAAGCATGGCTAATTTGGTACTAATAAGGAAGTACTAAGACTACTGGCGTACAAGTGAATTGTCTGTGGAATGAAATGAAAACACACACTAGATGGGTGAACGGCCTGGGCGGCTCGTACCTCGCAAAGCTCTCGAGAAACACGACGTCGTTCTTTTCCGGCTGAATGCCCTTCGGTTCGTACTCCACGTGAACATGTACTCGCCCTTTCGGCTAACACAGGTCGGCCGGACAGAAACCGTTGTAAGGCGGCATGAAGCGAGTGAATTGTCCCGTTGTCCCGCACGGAAAGCCCGGATCACAGTGTCGGGACAAGGAGGCGAGGGTGGGGCGGGGATCGCCGACAGCGGTCGCCGAAGCAATGATGCGGTACATCTACCTAGGGGAGCAACCGTTCCACAGAAAAACCACGGGCGTGGACTGAACCGAGAGCCAGCTGGATCGGCGCCTGTGCATGTGCTTGGTTGTTCAGGAACCGAAGGAATTACTAGAATGCAATTGCTCGACAAAATCAGTCCCAGTCGCCACCATCACCCACATGAATACCAACAATTTCGACATAAAATCATCACGACCAAGTGCGACAGTAAATACCAAGCAGCAACGTGAGCAACGCGCAAGGTCTCCACGACCAACGACCCCTTGTGCCCCCAAAGAAAACACCCAAACGACCAAACCATTCATTCCACTGCAACACTACAGGGCAAGTTCCACCGCACCTCGAGCTCTACCCAGGTGTCGATAAGGTGTGCCCCGCCGGAGAGAAGCGAAGACACATCCAGCTCCCCCGCCCCAAGCAGGCTTCCCCGAGACCCCATCACCGTGCTCACGGCCGAGCTCAGCACCGATTGGACGATGCTATCTTGGTTGTACACCTGCGTCCCGCCGAACACGAGCAGACGTGATTCTTTGTGATCGTCGAGCAAGTGTCGCCTCGTTACTTTTTTAACAACTTTCGGTTTATTTTCTGGGAACATCAGCTGGGGGCTCAGACAGGAGGAAGGGCGCACAATGGTTTGTGTTGTGTTGTTTTCGGTTGCGCCACTGCGGAAATTTGTCGTACTTCGCAGAAAGTGAGCCCGATACGAAGACTCATGCCTCCTTACGACAGTGAAAAAAACATTTCACCCAGCGTACACAGAAAAGTCAAGTTCGACATCGGAAGGTGAGTGTGTCCTAAGACAAAAGAGTAGGCCCGCACGAGTGTTGCCATGCCGTGTGTGCCGCGACTGCTTTCCTTCGTGGTCTACAGGCAGTAAAGCCCGTCATTCCCCCCCCCCCCC